CCGCGAATACCCCTGCAGCAGCAGCAGCAGCAGCAGCAGCAGCAGCAGCAGCAGCGGAGGGGGGACGGGGTCTTCCGGTGGGCTCGGGCCGCAGTTTGGGGTGCAGACAATGGAGATGCACCAAACCCTAAACCCTAAGCCCTAAACGGTGAACGTTAAACCCGACACGCTAAACCCTAAACCCTAAACCCTAGAAAGGGGTTTGGGGGTTACCTTGGCCCAGTCGGGCTTGAGCTTGACGCAGGTTTCGGCATCCTTGAGGGCGTTTTCGAAATCCTTCAAACTGGCGAAAGCCCCCGACCTGTTCGAGTACAGAAGATGGTCTTGAGGAGAAAGTTGAATTGCATTTGTGAAGTGTTGAACAGCAGCGTGGAAGTCGCCGTTTTGAAAGGCGGCGTTTCCCTTCGCCTTCTCTTCCTGCGCCTGCGTCTGGGCCGGATCCGCGGCAGTGGCCATCGTTGGCAGCGAAAAAAAAAACAATTTGCAAAGCAAAAGCAATTCAAAGACTGTTTGGACAGAAAGAACCGAAGATTCCCCGCGAAAAATGAAGAAATTCGAAAGCAGGAAACGCCGACACGCCGCGCAAGGCGCAAACTTTCAGGTGTACAGACAGCTCCGACCCGCAGAAAGCGCCCCCAAGATCCAACTCCTTAATCACAACTTTTCTAATTTACTTTCGCACTTTTCAAATCCGCTAACTCCCCCAAACTCCAGCAGCCCCACCAGCCTCGCTCGGTGGGGCCCCGACACCTCGCGCTGTCTGCTGCTGCATGCATGCAACTCGCCACTTTCGCGCCTAAAACTCCGAAAGTTCCGCTTTTATTTATTTACTTTTTCATCTTTTAATTAAGTAATAACACCAAACATCCCAGGGAGCATTCCGAGACAGATCTCCCGGCGGACCTGTAGCCGAAACGCCGCTGCTGGGGCACCCTCAGGTCCCGTTCCTCCGGGAAACTCACCTACTTGCCTTTATAATTCTTTCAAAGCAGTTAAATACTTTAATTAAATACATTTAAAAACATTTGGCGGCGAAATTAACCCAAAAGGGCCCCCCTCGGGGCCCCCTGCAGCACATGCCACAGCAGCACAGCAGAAGACACCCGCAAAAGCCCTACACCCAACGGGGCCCGCCCTCGGCCTCTATAGCCCACAACAAACCCCTCTGGGGCCCTTGGGGCTGCATGCGCTGCATGCGCTGCATGCGCTGCAGCAGGGCAAAGGAAGGGCCCCCAAGTTGCTTTTAGAGACCCCTGGGGGCCCCCAAAGGGCCCCCAAGGGGAGCCCCAGAGGGGCCCCCGGGGGGCCCCCTAGGGGCCCCTCAGGGGGTCCCCTACGCCTCAAATGCGTTACTTAGAGGACAACCTGGGGGGCCCCCAAAGTGCCCCTGGGGGGCCCCCCTGGCTGCGGGCTGTCTTCTATTCCGTC